TTTACTCTCGGAACCGATAGCAGACCCGTCCCAGAAGACCTGAGGCACCTTGATGGCTCGTAATTATGTAGGAGTTCAACAATATACTTTGGTCCTAAACCATGTAATGATTTAAAAACTAGCAATAGTACTTTAAAATCAATTCTTTGGCCGACTGGAAGCCAATGTAGAGATTTCAGAACCGAACTGATGTGATCCACTCTTTTAGTGTTTGTGAGGACACGTGCAGCAGTTTTCTGGATCAGCTGCAGTTTTCTGATGGATTTTTTTGTCAGCCCTGTGAATACACTATTGCAGTAGTCGAGTCTACTAAAGATAAAAGCATGGACAAGCTTTTCTAAGTCCTGTTGTGACATTCGTTTTTTAATCCTCGATATGTTGTTCAGTTGATAGATGCAGACCTAATGACCGTTGTAATGTGGCTGTTGAAATTCAGGTCTGAGTCCATCACTACACCTAGATTTCTAGCTAGCAAAACACATCATAGACATGTTTTTTTATATATCTGAGACCCATAATATATATGCCTAAAAATAGCATGATAGTAGATCTTTAAGTTTGAATCATCTTTGGCCAATGAAAAAGTGAGGCTTTCTTCAGTTTAGCATCTAAATCATGAAGGCCAAAGCTGGAGCTGCGTTCCTGCTTCTAGAGCCGCTAACCAAACCACACACGCCAAAAGCGGAAAGCTCAAGGAATCAAGGTCAAATATTATAATCATAACAAGTCCCATGGTTCTACGTGGAAGAACAACTAAACTTTTCACCAAAAGAAGCTTCCAGATTGTTATCCGGAGCGGGGGGAAGTATGGACTTTGCACCCCTAAAGAGTTTGGATATCTTTCAGGTAAAAATGAAAAAAGCTTTATAATGGCTCCACTTTGAAGGAAGACACAGTGGGGCACTTTGAGGGGATTTAAAGACAGGAAGTACTTTACTCACTCTACTGATGCACGCATGCTTCTAAACCCTTTGTGTTTTGGCCTTCCTGTAGTGGTTTACAGCGTAATCACAGAAAAGTAGCAAAGGTTTGCTTCAAAGTAACATCTCAGCGAGCTGCAGGGTGACGGATATTTGTCAAGAGAAGATGACACACTGAGACGGTAAATGCTCTGAGAGCCCGACCTCAGCCAGCGGCCTGCAGAAACCACATATAATTGAGTGTGTCACTCCTGTTGCAGCCTGCTGTACTCCTGCTTTACTGAAAGGAGAATTATTAATGGTTGGAGAGGAAAAAGGAAGGATGAGATCCACAGAAATAGATCCATACAGGAAGAGGGAGTAGGCCTTCTACTTCACTGCCTTCACTTAGCACCTGAAAGTGTGTGTTTGGTGGACAACAAAAAAAAAGAAGTTTAGCAATCTGATGTGTTTAATAAACTCCTGTTAATTCAATGGCATTAGCATCGGGTTCTACACACAAAAAGCTAATTTTCCCCGCAAAAACTCATCTTGTCTCCCCTGTTGCTTCTCTCACACCTCACTGCACCCCTTACTGTGATCCAGACACTGCTTTATTTAACTCTCAAACCCCACAGAAACTCAACATTTTCTAAACTTTTAAACTGCTCAGCTCTGTCAAAGACTTGTCAGGCAGGGTGTTTAAAGCCATTTCCCGGTTTGTAAAACGTTTATAAAATGGCCAATTCTGCCAAGATCCTGCTGGTGCTGCCAAAACCTTCAGGCTGGATTAGTTTGCTTTTATTTTTTCTTCTAGTTTTATGATGGAGTTTGTGGTTAAAGCGCAGATATTTGCAAGGAGGTGAGTGACAGAAGAACATTTAAATCTTTAATTTGGACAGGGCTATATCTGAGGAAAGAGTAGCTGTCTGAAGAAAGAAAGAGAGGTAAAGCATAAGAAAACACAAGTGGAATTGGTAGAGCGAAGAAGAAATACAGTCCGGGCCGGCATTAGTGGAAGAAGGCCGGCTGAAATAACTCCCTTGTGGACGGGCTCTTCAAGCTTTCATGTGTCACCATGGAAACCCAGAGAGCGGTCATTTTGTTCAAACAAGAGCCCACAAAGGTGCTGTCAAGCTTCTGAGCGAGATACACGTAAAAAAAAATCACAATCTGTTGTCGAAGAATTTAATAATAATTCATCTGGATTACTCTGTGGGTGACAGAAAACCATCAATACAATACGGGTTATTGTTCATCCATAAGAAAATGTTTTTAATATATCTAACTATTAAATAGAGAGTTTAGTTTTCAGGCCATTTGAGGCAAATGAGTGAATTGCGATATTTCGATGTAAAAATATAATTTTAATGTCGTAAGGCAAAGTAGCATCTCAACCATAAAGGAACAAGTCTTCCCAGTGATCACTCAGCAACTGTTTGTCTATTCTCTTGTTTCCCATTCAAATAAATCCAACAGATTACATTTCAAATCTTCACACAGTACTCATGTGTTGCCTTTATGTGCTGGTGGAAGTATCCACCATCTGGGACCAGGTTGTTTTTGTTTATTTTGACAGAGAAGCATCAATAAAAAATAGGTTAATGATTATTAAGTCTAGTTTTCTCCTGTTTTGACTGCTGCTTATTTGAAGAATATCCACTTTTCAAAAGTGTTTACTTCTGTTGCATTCAGGAACAAAAGCTTGTCTAAACTATTTGTGGTTTATTTGGACAGCAGGAATATTTTTTTTAGCTCAAACTCATTAGGAACATTGCATAACATGTTAAAATGTAAGTGTATGTACATTTCTTGATGGTTTGCACACGGTGCTGTTTGCCTGCAGGAGCTGCAGTGGGACATCGAGCAGCACACAGAGAGCGTGGCGTCGGTGCTGACGCTCTGTGACGTCCTGCTGCACGACGCAGACGCCTGCAGCAGCGACGCAGAGAACGACTCCATCCAGCAGACCACGCGCAGCCTGGACCGGCGCTGGAGGAACATCTGCGCCACGTCCATGGAGAGGAGGATGAGGTGAGCGGGCCGACAACTGAGCCACAAAATGATCAGAAATCTCCCCCGTCAAGTCTTTATTATGTCAGGATGGGTCCTTACACCTGAGGGTAGGGTTAGCTCAATTCCATCACCCTCGAACAAAAAGTCACGTTTTTAAAAAAAATATTTTTTACATTATTTTTTTACACTTGATAATCTGCTTTCGGATTCAAGACATACTTCAAGGCTTCTTTTGTTTGTTTTTTACTTATTATTTATTTTTCTTAAATATATGAATTTCTTTTTCTTTTTTTTAGGTATGGACAATATAAGTCAATCAATAAAAAGTAAAATAAGTTATCAGTCAGTTTTCACATGCATGTTTATAAAAAAGAACGGAGATTTATTTATTTGATTACCTGTCTCAGTTGCTCGGGTTTTATCAGTTGACCTTCCACATACATTTTAAAAGTGAAATGATCCGTCTGTTGTCTCCAGGATCGAGGAGACCTGGCGTCTCTGGTGTAAGTTCCTGGACGACTTCTGTCGCTTTGAGGACTGGCTGAAGAGCGCTGAGATCACTGCGGCCAGCCCGGACTCTGCCAACGTGCTCTACACCGGCGCCAAGGAGGAGCTCAAGAAGTTCGAGGTGAGAGGAAACATCTCTTTTTAGTTATTTTGATTTCTGTAAGCAGTCTTTCACTTTGGCAGAATAGTGGAAAGTGTGGGTTAAAAAGAAAGTCTGAGAAGAGGTCTCAAACCCCACAAGACCTTTCTAACACTCTTATCTTATGAACTACATCCCGCTTTGCAGTGTGAGTGAAGTTTCAGCTTCAGGTAGGGATGCATATCGTTGACTTTTTTACGATACCGATACCGATACCACTGAACGATACCGATACTCAACCGATACATATCGTGATACTTTGAAAATGTATCATCCCACAATTACTCCCATGAAGCGCTTTATGATATAGTTAACATGTCAAATGAATATTACATTAAATTGTGGGACTTCTTGGACCTGTTAGTACTGAACAAACAATGAAAAATACATAACAAATATGAAGAAAACCGATTATGGAATATCTTTTATAACACCCGCCATCAGGTGTGAATAGCACATCTTGTCAATGCAAACAGACCGTTATAGCACCGTTATAATTAATGCTAAACCTGAGATTTGACTAGAGAACAAATAAATAATAGAATAATGGTCATGAGATCTCGGCATTGCACAAACAAACAAATCTCATCTTTAAAATCAACATTTGCCTTCACTGGTGAGAGAAAACAAATCCCATCACAGTTCATTTGTGGGACTTACCTTTCTAGTATTGAACAAACAATGAAAAATACATAAAATATGAAGAAAAACGATTATGCAATCTAATTTATAACACCCGCCATCACGGGCCACGGACTCACTTTTTTTTTTTTTTTAAAGTATCGAAACCGGATCTGATTTCGGTACGGTATACCGTAGCCACCAGTAACCGGTATTTCGGTAATACCGGATACCGGTATGCATGTTGCAATAAAACACAGAAATAACTTCTTTTTTGCCGGTATGGATTATAAACACAGGTGTTGATATTGTTGTTAACCAAACTCATTTCATCCTGTGGACGACCAGTGACCTATTGACTGACCACCCGAGACATGTGATGGGAGCTATGGGAGAGTAAGGGTCAGAATCAGCATTGGGATGTAGGTTCAATTCCATGAAGTGACACGAAAAGGTTATCAATCCTCCTGAGCAGCTGGAAGCGGAGGCAGTTTCAACGTGTCAGAGTTACTTTAATCTAATATATGAAAGAAAAAAATGACGTGTGTTTGGTTTTTGAGGTATCTTCGCAAATCCAACGGTTAATAATTCAAGTTCCAATGAAACCATTCTTTTATATGGTATTACAGTTAAAACGTCTTGGAAGTAAGTGCCTTTTTAATAAAGAAATCTGGCATAAAACAAGAAAAGGGAATTTAAGTGGAATTTGGTGAAAAAAAGGGTAACACCTTACATTTAAAATTCCTAGGAAATGTTGATCTTTGGTAACACATCAAACTTAAAGTAATCCTGTCTTCTAAAAAGCGTTAGCAGGTCCTTTATATTGACTCGTAAGTTGTTTCTGTTGTCCTGTCAGGCGTTCCAGCGGCAGGTCCACGAGCGTCTGACTCAGCTGGAGCTGGTCAACAAACAGTACCGCCGTCTGGCCCGGGAGAACCGCACCGACGCCGCCAGCAAACTCAAGCTCCTCGTCCAGGAGGGGAACCAGAGGTGGGACAGCCTGCAGAAGAGGGTGGTTTCCGTTCTCCGCAGACTCAAGGTGAGACGGGGGGTTCAGGAGAGGACCTTTTCTTTACAATAAAGACCTCAGATCTCATTTACGCAGATAATTAAATCATTAAGATATTTAAAGCTTCCACAGCACACACAACTTCAACATTTCACAACTTTCACAGCAGCAGGAGGTCCATGATTTTGAACTCAAAGTAACTGCATGCGTGAAAATAAAACGAAATGAGCAGTGTAGGAAATACTGCTTTTCTTAAGTAGTAGTAGTAGTAATACCAAAGTAAGGAAACCTCTTGAATTTTACTAAAGTGTAAGCCTCAACATATACTAAAATGACCAAAACTAATACTTTAAAACACTTGAAACTTTTCAAGCCTTTTTTTATACTGCCAGCTATCTTAATCAATAACAGTGCGTCATAAATTATTTGTAAATGTATGTGTCGTATTAATAAAAGGAACCTGCAAAGTAACTTAAGTTGACAATGCATGCAGTGTAGTGTAGTGGAGTAAAAAGAAAAATACTTCCTTCCAAAATGTAGTGGAGTAGCAGTACCTCATAATGTACTTAGCAGTACCTCATAATGTACTTAGCAGTACCTCATAATGTACTTAGCAGTACCTCATAATGTACTTAAGGGCAGAACTTGAGTAAAGGTACGAGTCAGATAACGGTCAGAAAGCAGAGTGTGTGGAGATGCAGCCGATCTGAGGGATATCCCTGCTCTCCGCTCTAAGCCGGCGGGATTTAGGTCAGCTCTTCACGGTGACGAGGCACCAGCGTCACGTTGCCAGGGAGACGTTTGCATCACGACATGTGGAGCTGAGCAGATCAATATATTTATGTTGCTTTGAGTTAGGATGTTGTCAAAGAACTCAGCTGGTGTAGAAATATCCACATCCTGGGAATTTGCAGCAGAGAGTCACCAGTGGTTTATATTTTCCTATTTTTATTCATACTGTAACTTAAATGTTTTCTTATTATCTTTGTGTGATCGGTCTTATCCCGGTATTCATTCGTATTGATGTTGCTCCTCGGACACCTGCCTTTCCCTACAGGGATTAATAAAGGTTTAATGTATCCTATGTTATATAGTCACAGTGGTTTATTCCCAGAAAGAAGGCTGCTAAGATACAATTCATTTAATTCAGACAAGAATGTTGCACAATATTATTATGTAAAAAATGCAATTTACTTTGAAAAACATGCAGTTCTAATGACATTTGAGCTCTGTTGGAGAGAATGAATGTTGTTTTATTAGATATCAGTGCTTGTAAGAGAATCACTGTTTTCAGAGGCATGGTTTCTTAACTCCATGAGGGCAGTTAAGAAACCATCAAACTAATGCTGTTAACATGATATGCTCTGAACTAGTTAGAACCATCCTCTGCCCTGTGCTCCTGCAGCACTTCACCTCTCAGAGAGAGGACTTTGAGGGGACTCGGGAGGGGATCCTGGTCTGGCTCACAGAGATGGACCTGCAGCTCACCAACGTGGAGCATTTCTCCGAGAGCGACGTCGAGGACAAGATGAGGCAACTCAACGTAAGTCTGCTCCTGCTGGCAGTTACACAAAGCACAGCGCCATCTTTTCTTTAACCCTGGCTTCCTTAATGACCAACTTGTCTTCTTCTCCCCTTTAATGTTCAGGGTTTCCAGCAGGAAATCACTCTGAACACCAACAAGATCGACGCTCTGATTGTGTTCGGGGAGAACCTGATCCAGAAGAGCGCCCCTCTGGACGCCGTGCTGATGGAGGACGAGCTGGAGGAGCTGCACTCGTACTGCCAGGAGGTGTTCGGCAGGGTGTCCCGCTTCCACCACCGCCTGGTGCACCGCCGCCCGGTCAGTGAGCACAGGGACACAGTCACAGTAGACTTTGACGCTTCAGGCTTTTCTTTACAGTAATGATAAGATATTTTGTAAAGCAAAAAGAACGAATGATCCACAGAAAACAAATTAAAGAACATACTTATCAAATGTAAAAAATATTCCTTAATATAAGGCAATGTTTTGTGTTTAATTGTGTTCTTACTGAGTAAGTGAGGGTTACTTAAATCATTTCAACATGTAGCATCATTTTTATTTTCCCCAAAAAGTGCATAAAGAATATATATAAACAAATTATTGCATAAAAATATAAATACCTTAATTTTCGGACTATAAGCCGCGCCTTTTTTCCCATTTTTCGACGCTGCGGCTTATATAACGGTGCGGCTAATCTATGGATTTTTACAGCTAACGGCCACTATGCAGACCTCCTAAATCTATGGCATTTTACCAGGTTCACAATCCCACCACCCTTTAACTCTATGGGCTTCTATG